ACCATATTGGACTTCTTCAGCTGCAGCTGGTGCTCGACCTCGGGCAGCTCCTTCAGCAGATTGTCGCATAGCTCCAGCAGACTGTAGATGTTGAGTGCCAGCTCCATGAGATCGAATAGAAAGGCGACGTGCTCCTGCACCGGCAGATAGTTGTTGTTGCCAAGGGCGAATCCGTTGAGCTGCTCCAACACATTCGCCGCGCACTGGGCGGTGACCACATGCTGATCGAAGTAGGCCATCTGCTGGCACTTGGCTGTGGTGGCCTCAAAGTTGAATTCATTGCGCGAATGTTTCTTCACCTTGCCGCCCTCGGCCACATCGATGCTGAACTTTTTCGTGAAGAGTTTCCCAATCTCCTTGGACATCTTCTTCACCGCGTGCTTCTTCTCGTCGCGCTCCTTTCCCACGCCAAACAGGAGAATATATCTCTGGTTGCTCTCGCTGCTGTAGCTGGACTCGTCCTGGGGTATTGGAAAGTGCTTTGTGTACACATAATGACGGGAAATGCTGCCACCTGCTCCTCCACCCGCACCGGTTTCCCCTTCACCTGGCGCTCCTATCTTGGGGCTGTCGGGCGCATCGTGCTGCTGTCCTTTCTCCTTGATGTTCTGCACCAGCTTGTCCAGATCATCATCCACATTGGAGTCGTCGAACTCGTTGTGCTTAAAGTCAATGCCACCGCCAAAGGGATCGTCATCGAATCCATGCGTCGTTGTGGCCTGTGTGGCTGCCGCCGCTGGTGAGCTCTTTGTGGCCGATGTCGCTGACTTGCTCGCCAAAACGGACTCCAGACTCAACAGATCCCCTCTGGAGATCAACGTGTGCATGTAGGCATTGTGCGAAAAGACATCGTGACGGATCAGGGCACTGAAGAGCTGGACCAGATTCGTGAATTCCGTTCGCTGTTGCGCACTGCTCAAGTGATCGTCCAGCACGGGTGCATCGTGGTCGAGGAAGTGCATCAGCACATGCTGGAACACTGGCAGGCCATCAATTAGGCCCGCGCCCGAGGCCAGAGAGTCCTTATCCTCCTTGTCGCTAGACTGCTCAGCGGGCGTGCTGGTCACATCTATCTGCCGCTTGTCCAGCAGATTGGCCACTACCATGGCCCGGTGTTCGCCCCAGCGCTGACTAGACACAGCCCATTCGCACAGAATCCGCACCGTATCCTTGTCGTGTTTGGGCTCATACACGGATCGTGGCTGCTGCTGCTGCGGATCCTGCTGATCCTCATCACGTCCCCTGCTAGGGAAGATGTGCATGTAGAGCGTGTCAATGCTGTTGCACTGCTCCATGCGGTCGAAGCAGTGCGTGTCCAGGTGATCCAAGGTGGCCAGCACTTTGGTGTAATGATTCTTGCCAGCACTGAGCCACTTGGCGGCGAACCAGCGCTGCTCAGCATGCTGCGTGCGGAGCACAATCTCAGACTCGGCGGCTCGCAGCTGGCGGCGTATCTCCTGATTGGTGCGCGGACACCGCGTGGGCATGGGTAGCACGGATGGGGCCAGCGGTAGATGATCCAGCGGACTGCCCACAAGTGAGGACGAGGCTCGGTGCGCTGCAATGCCACTCCACACCAGTGCCGTGGGGCATTCGATGGTGATGATCTGAAGAATGGTGCTCAAGTACAGGACAATGTCCCGATGATGTGGGCAACTCATCTGCTCCTGCAAAGCCAACTCAAAGGGATCACTTTGATGCTTGTTCTCTGCCATTCCCATTCCCACACCCACAGCCACTCCTCCGTCGACATCCTTAATACCCTGCTGCTCAACGGCCGCATTGAGGAGTTGCGCCAGTTTTTTGGACACAATGTAGGCCATTTTGCGGCACAAACGCTCCGACTGGACAAAGTCGTGCATGTACTGGAGGGCGAAGCTAAGCACAAGCTTTTTCAGCGGCTCATCGAAGCTCGCCTGGGTGCGCATCTTGTCCAGCAGGTCGAGTATCCAGTTGAGGAACTCCTGCCGGTCCAGCAGCGACTCCTCGTACATGTATTTGCTCAGCTGGTGGCAGTACTTCCAGTACTTTAATGCATTTCGGCTGTCCTCAAACTGGCTGCCAATGCCGGATATGCTCGAGCCGGGCGGAACAGCTGCTCCCGCAGACGTGCTGCTGCTCACAGAGGAGCCACCTGGCCCGCCCGGACCACTGACAACGCCTCCTCCGAGGGCTCCAGGTGGTGGTATGACACTGCTGGATCCTGCTACTCCCCCGGGCGTGCTCTGCTGACCATTGGCTGGACTGTGGATAGGCGGCAGGGGACTGGACATGCTGGGCACTGGAATCACATTCGATGCGCCACTTGGGGTTGTTGCATTGCCCCCGGATGCGTTCACCGAGATGCCGTTGCTGTTACCCCCGGAGGAGCTAGTGAGGCCAGCAGAGTGGCTGCCATTTGAGGAGCCCTTGTCGTGCGCTGATCCAATGTAGAAGTTCGCATAAGGTTACGGATTTATGGACAATGGACAGTTACGGACAATGCCCTCTGTATGAGTGTACTTACCCTGCTGATAGTACTCCTGTAGCTTGTTCAGCAGTTCCTTCATGAACTTGATCATGTTGCCCGTCCACTCGGCAGCCGGATCGTAGATGCTGCGCTTTTTGTTCTTCGACTCGGTGAAGCTAACCGTGTAGGCGGCACTCAGCTTGATGAACCATGTAGCCCGCTGCATGTTTACCTGGTTCTCGCAGAGCGTTATGAAAATCTCCTCCTTCTTATTGAAGGATGGTGCACGCTTGGCCAAACTGAGAAGCGGCTTGTTGCCAGCCAAGTCCTTGAACCAGGCGTCCACAGCGCACTTGCGGCGGGGAGAGACTGGCCAGAAGTTGTCCTTGCAGTTGATCTGCTGTTTTTTGCGCCCCGTGTCCGGCAGCGTCATCAGCTCCTCCTTTTTGGCGAGCACTCCACTGAAGAAGGCACTTACCCTGCTGGCGTTCACATTTGAGCTGTGCGCCGTGCCAAACTCGTCGGACAATGGTGGTGTTGTGGTGAAGCCATGTTTCACATTTGTGGGCGTCAGTTCGTCCTCGCGCTGCTTGGCGTCCTGCGGATATATGTCCGGTGGGCCGAGGCGTGTACGCTTTAGCGGACGCTTTTCCTGCAGCATTGAGAGCATCTTGGCGGCTCTCCAATGCTTTTTTCATACGATTTTTCACAAATTTTCTTTTTATGCACTCAAGAAGACAAGCAATATTAGGGATGGGAGTAAAACGAAAACGATACGCCGCAGATATCGGTATGCTATCGCATTTTATGCTATCGTTTTGAGTCAGCTGTGTAAAATGTATTAAAAATGTATTTTTATTACATTTGATTACATTGTTGTGCATTATTCATCTAATATCACTCAAGTGATAAAATCACAAAACAAGTTTAAAATAAAGATATTTCTGATTAATTTTTGGTAATAATAAACGGAATAATTATTAGGCGACCGAAAGCCTTAGACAGCTTGACGGTCGAATTCTGGTTCATCAATATAAAAATGATTGTTGCCAGTTATTCCTTCGCTGCACTCGAAATTCAGACAGAGCATCTTTAGGGGATATTCTGGCGGTAGCTATACACGGAGAAATGTGTGTTCACTCTTTAGAAATGGCATTCCCCATCGACTTGTAATTACTTACTCTGTTCATTATGTCGTGCCTGATGTCGGTGGCAGCTGCGTACAAGTGCAGAGGCTGGGCTAGCCGCTTTGCCAGACTCTCCAATGTGTCCAGGACAAAGGAGTCTGTTATGCCAAGGCAGTAACAAATGTTTAAATACCGAAGCTGATCATTCCTGGCCACTAGAATCGAAAGCTTCTGTTCACCAATTTCTCGGGCGCACTGAAATGAGAGGCACTCCAGTTGGTTGAGTCGCGCCAAATGTTGTACACAGTTGTCGTCGCGGGGCTTGCAGACAAGCCATTTAAGCGACTTCAAGGCACTGATATGTTGGGCATGCTCCTCGTTGATCCAGCGTTTCCGATGGAGTATGAGGTACTCCAACTGCGAATAACAGCTGCTGGCCAATGCTTTAAAGAAGCGCCCTTTCAGCTCTTCTGGGCAGTATATTTGCAAGTACTTTAAATTGGAGAACTGAGACAGAGTTGTTAGATCGGCATCGCAGTCGTTGAACGATAGCTTCTCTAGCTGGCGACAAACTGAAGCCAAATACCTGAGAGAGCTGGTGGTCAGGAAACGCTTGGCGTTGCGCAGCTGAAGACTCTGCAGATTGCTCATGGGTTTGATCATTGCTGTGAACTCAGAGGCGGTTACCTCGTCATACATCGAGAGCTCCACAAGATTTCTGAAGTGTACCACTTCTTGCACTGCCGAAAGAAAAGAGAGAACAATCAACACTTTTATTATTAGATTTCTTATTAGACTTCTTACGCTCGCGACGCTCGAAACTTTCCAGGCCTAGACTTCTTATGTGTGGCAGGCGCATCTGCATAGCTTTTATCAAGTCCTTGCTCGTGCTCTTGTAGTTGCGAACGTGAACTTTTCTTAGCGAAGTGATTTTTAATAAATAGGGCTGTGTCCTGGCCACCGTCGCATTGTTGATCGTTATACTCTCCAGTCGGTAGCAGTACTTGCTGATCATAGGCAGCAGTTGAAGCGGATGATCGTCATCGAAGTACGATTGGATGCTCCTGATATTGCCACCGCACAGCCACAGAAACGTTTGCCAATCTTCTAGGGTTCTCAGATTCGTGTCCCGGTCAATAATTTCGTGGAAATGATGGCGGTGCAGTTGGACGAAGGCGTCCCGAAATCCGCAACAGCACCGAGCCAGGTGCAGCTGGTCCTCCAAGCTCAGTAGCTTGAAAATAAACAATACACAGCTGCGGTTGAGGTCAGAAAAGTTAGTAATACGAGCCATTATCTTGTTTTTGTCATCTTAATTAATGTAATTTCCTTTATTGACTTATTTGGTATTTTCGATACCGTTGTCCGTGCCATTTGATATCGTTATTGAAATTCGATATCAGTCGATAGATATGCCACATCTCTAGGAAAAATGCGAATGGCCATTGAAAGAAGAAGCAGTGAAAGGGAGGAATTTCAACAAATTACTGAGGAAAAAGACAAGAAAGCATAAAAAACGAGCTGCATTTGTGCTTTGGCAAGTGCATAACTCCTTACGACACAAAGCCAAGAGTTACCAAAGCCAGCCTGCAGCGCAAACCACACAACAGGCAACACAGTCAACACAAAAATATAAACAGCACAGTTTAGATGATGAGCAGCAGAACGGACACGGACGGTTCCTCAATCAGATTCAGCGATCACACACTGGACAAGGCCACCAAGGCCAAGGTGACGTTGGAGAATTACTACAGCAACTTGGTGACACAATACGGCGAGCGTAAGCAGCGCCTGGCAAAATTGGAGGCCCAGCTGAAGGACGAAAGTCTAACAGAGTCGCAACGTCAGGAGAAACGCTTACAGCATGCGCAAAAAGAGACGGAATATTTGCGTCTCAAGCGATTACGTCTCGGTGTCGAGGATTTTGAGGCGTTGAAAGTCATCGGTCGCGGTGCATTCGGTGAGGTGCGTTTGGTGCAAAAAAAGGACACGGGACATGTCTACGCCATGAAGGTGCTACGCAAAGCTGATATGCTCGAGAAAGAACAAGTGGCGCATGTACGGGCCGAGCGTGATGTTCTTGTTGAGGCCGATCATCAGTGGGTGGTCAAGATGTACTATAGTTTTCAGGTGAGTGCAAAAGTACCAGCAGCAGTCAGTCAGTCGTAAAAGCAACAATAGGAAGAGGGCGATACAAAATACAAAAGAAAACGGGAGAAAATCAATAAACCAATACAAATGCAACTGGCAAAATAGCAAAAGCAGCGCACTTGCTAATCATATGGTCTTTGTTTTTGTTCCGCTTCATCTTCCTCTTCTTGATGAAAGCTCAAAGCCACAGGAGAACGTGCCTACATTGTATTATTTTCTTTTTGATTTTTGACTGCAGGACCAGGTAAATTTATATTTGATAATGGAGTTTTTGCCTGGCGGGGACATGATGACGCTGTTGATGAAAAAGGACACACTATCCGAGGAGGGCACACAGTTCTATATCAGTGAGACGGCGCTGGCTATCGACTCGATACACAAACTCGGTTTCATACACAGGGACATCAAGCCGGACAATTTGCTGCTCGATGCGCGAGGGCATCTCAAGGTAAGGCGTAGGCGTAGGCGAGCACTCGGTCCCTAGTCCACTTGAAAACTAAACCACATTTGTCTCATTCGTCTCATCCAGCTCTCCGATTTCGGACTCTGCACTGGACTGAAGAAGTCGCATCGAACAGACTTTTATCGGGACTTGTCGCAAGCGAAACCATCAGATTTCATTGGCACCTGTGCGAGGTGAGGCAACAGCAACGGCAGCTGCCAATGGTTTCCAGCTTAGTAATATTTCCAATCCTCTTGCAGTCCCATGGACTCGAAGCGTCGTGCCGAATCGTGGAAACGAAATCGACGTGCCCTTGCCTACAGCACAGTTGGAACGCCGGATTATATTGCGCCCGAAGTGTTTCTGCAGACTGGTTATGGACCAGCCTGCGATTGGTGGTCGCTGGGCGTCATCATGTATGAAATGCTAATGGGCTATCCACCCTTCTGCTCAGATAATCCGCAGGACACATACCGCAAGGTAATGAACTGGCGCGAGACCCTTATCTTTCCGCCAGAGATCCCCATATCGGAGGAGGCAAAGGAGACGATCATCAAATTCTGCTGTGAGGCGGATCGCCGGTTGGGCTCACAGCGTGGACTGGAAGACCTGAAGTCGGTGCCGTTCTTTCGCGGCGTCGACTGGGAACACATACGGGAGCGACCAGCGGCCATACCCGTTGAGGTGCGCTCCATTGATGATACGTCTAATTTCGATGAATTTCCTGATGTCTCGCTGGAGATACGTAAGATTGATCGTAATCCTTCCGATTAAAGGTTCTTGTGAGTGAATAATTCCACATCTCCTTTTCAGCATCAGCGCCTATACCGCAGGGCGGGGAGATTGCTAAGGATTGGGTCTTTATCAACTACACGTACAAGCGATTCGAGGTGCGAAATCTGGAGTGAAGCAGGACTCGTAGCTGGAGCAGGAGCATAATCGGTCGCATCGTCAGGGTTGCCTTTGCCGCACTTTGCCACCCACACTTGTATTTTCACCATCATAGCCGTCGTCTCCGTCGCCGTCGTCGTCGTCGTCTCTCTAACATCATCCACCACCAAGAGCAAAAGCATTCTCCACGCTAAGCAAAAACTTAATTTTCCTTTTTGAATATCTTACCTACATGTGTATTTAAATACTAGCTAACATTTGTGATTCCAAAACGAAAAGAAAGTGAAGATAACGAGATCTAACGATTGTGTGTTGTATGTAAAAATGTTTTGCTTAAAGCGTTACCCGCGCACCCCCACACCATGCACTCTCCTCTCATGCCTCATGCCACCCAGCAGCGGCAGTGGCTGAGTGGGCATCTCTCAAATTAAGTTAAAACCATACCATAGTGCTCCCATGTCCTTCCATTTTAACGTTGCGTTTGTAAGCAAAAGAGCAAAAGTCAATGTTTCGGCCACTTAGGGACCCATTTGGCATTTTCCGTATACCTCTTATTTACATTACTTCGTTGGGCAGCAGCAAAATGCCCACAACATCTTTTTATTTAGCCAATTGAGAAATGTTATAAAATTTAGCCACGTTAATTATATATAAATGTATATGTATGTACGTAGATACATACGAGATATGTTTTGTATCAATTTCGAATGAAAAAATCACTTTATAATTATTAAAACATGCAAAAGCAGAAATATTTTTGAAACAAAACACACACAAATTAGTTACTAATGTCACACACAACAAACCATATATATGTAGATGTATGTATGTATTGGTTTCGATCTATGTACACAAAAATTCCACTCCCAAACGGACCCCCAGACCCCAAGCGCCTCTGTAGAAAGAAACACAACATATTTTAGACATTCGATTGTAGCTCTCCGGTGGAATTCATTCTGCGTTCTATGTTATTCTCGTAATTGTAGTTTCAGAGCTAAAGTGAAAAATACCAAGTTACTGCTGGTCGAAAAACGCAAATACATAACGTAAATGCATAAATTATATTTGGAATTATGTAGTACATATATACATATATATATTGTATATATAATTGCAAAACACAACACCCAACCCAACTCAAACCCCGAGCAGTTGCGCAAAAGCAAAAGCAAACTTTAAGTAATTGATAAACATACAAGTTTTAAGATTTTATTTTTGGTAATAGAAATACAATAAAAATAAGCGAGTAATGATAACATTGATAATAATGCAACACCAGCAACATGAACGCAATAATAATAAATGAAAAATGTGCATAATAGTACCAACTAACAATAAATCCACATTTTATGTGACTCTATCGTCAATCATATTACATTAGCTGCTCGATTATCCGGCGAAAGTAATCTTCATGGCCGACCGTATCGTATTTCGACGGGAATTGAGTTCGACTCTTCTCATTGCGGCTAACAAATGCAGTGGGAGTATTACAATCAGTCATGGTTTCATTTACTAGTATAATCACATTCAGCTCACACATGCCCCTTATTAAACGAAACAATGTTCTTTTTTCTTCATATCGGTTAGTAGAGTATGAGTATGACATAATGTCGACTGTCTCACGGTTAAGCTCGTATTTTTTATTGTCGGATAAAATACACAGATCAAAGCGATTTTCAGGTTTTACTAACCATCCTTCAAAATTCTGTAACTTCAATTCGGACTTATGCGGAAATGAATGTCCCAGACATTTGGCAATGAATGTGACATACCACCACGGGCAGTTCCAGCTGTAATGGGTTTCGTACCATGAGACAGGTATATCAGCCGGCTTACTGGCAATATTCATTGATACTCCCAGGATCTGGTGGTGGTTCGATTGATCTACTACCCTGTTTCCTTACCAGTTGCCCTCTATTACGAATCCTCCTGTTATGGTGCACCATTGAAATTTCAAAAAATCTAAACTTCCCATTCGGTTATGCATGAAAATGCTTTCTCTCAGCTCGGCAGCTGCCCAGTTGGTCTGTCCTAGCACTCAAGTCCTTGCCGCCAAGACAGGTAAGGCCAAGACATGCAAGGCCAAACGGGCCACCGGCCCCATAAGGCCAAAGGCAAAATATCCGAGCGGATCCGTGCGCCAGTGCTTGTATTTCTTCAGCATCTCAGTTAGAGATTCAGCCGATAAGTTGAAGCCATACGGTGCGGAAATGCGATCAGGCTCAATTTTCCCTTCAACCTGATGGGATTTGTTGGGTCCTTGTTTGCTTGTCGCCAAAAGAGTACACTTCAAACGCGTTTTCTGGAGCTCTTCTGCGTTTGCAAAACAGATCATCAAATTACTTAGAGCCACAGACACAGCACATTCGCTCATCTTAGGTACCCCTTCGGATGCGGTACGTCCCAGGTAGGCATGGACCATCGCTGCAAAGTTATGCTCTCCCTGCCCCTTCGCCGAGATTCCGCTGCAAATTTCATAGTCACCAGGCAGATGTATTGATAATTGCCTGGTATATGTACCGTAGCGGCTCTGGACATAAATTTGGCTTTTTGCTTGATATCTGAGGAGGCTTCAGTACGGTAACTGCCGCTTAAAGTCGACTCGATGAGGACACGACTTTATCCCCCACTTTCCCTGCCATCCTTAATAGACTGGAAAGTAAGTAATGCAATAGACTATCTCACCATCGACGTCTTTTGTAGAAGCACTATCGAAACTTGAGGACATAATTGCAACAGGTGGCTCGTTCCCTCCTGGGTACCTACCTGAATATCTGGGGTCCACACGGTCTTGTATGAGTCCCTGTCAACTCTTGTATTTAACGCAATCCGTTGAGAGCAATCCGATGTCCCTGCCAAAATGTTCGGGTTTGTGGCTATTATATTAAGCATGTTGTTTGAAGCCTTTGAAGCCTTTCTCCAAAGAACTCTTCGCTGGCTCTTCTTCATCGCCACCATAGGAATTCCACAAATGTTCGATTGTCCGCCGGCCAAGTGCCGAAAGCTTACTTTCGGGCTTATCGGATGCCTTGCAGCCTTGGATGGACACAGTCACAGCGGGCATGGTGTCAGATATAGCTGAAACTTCTCCGACATCAACTTGATACGGTAGCAATAGGTCTGGCCACGAGAGGGGATTGCTCATTGTATCCGTGCCACACCAAGAAAATCTATCTCAAAAGGCAATTTTGGGGTCTGCGAAAAAAGTTTACTTATCACACGTAGAACCTCTGGTTGCGAGCCTCCCTCTTCTTTTGCCTGTTGCATTTCGTCTATCTACCCTTGGGTAGAGGGGGATTATTTGGCCGCCCGCCTTTGCAAGGTGGAAATCGCCACGTCGTCACTGTAACTTGTTACAGTTGAACGAGCTAATTTTGTTAAACAATTTTGTAGCAAACAAAAACACGTGCACCGAATTAAGCTTAAAAAGTTCACTCTTGTTTTGGCTACACTCGATTAACGATTACCGATTATTGCAATAAGTAACCCAATCGGTAGAGGTATTCAAGAAAGTGTTTTTGATTTGCGAAGGCAGTCCCAGCGTCCACCAACGACTAACTATGGTGCCTGGTTTATTTATTCAACATAATGCCTATTGGCATGGGAGGACACGCCAGCTGTGTCTCGGCTCTGTGATCACCCCGTAGATGATGGCATCGTGGTATACGTACATATTTACATATGCTGTTTTCCCGTCGTATTAGCCACACACCAGGATTAGTACACACACACACAATGTTTGTATTATCAAAAAGAAACAACACAAGGTAAGCTTTGCACATTTAAAATTTAAATGTATGTCTTTTTATATTTTGTATACTCTTCTGCCGGTCGTCTCTGTTGTCAACGCTTCTTGTGTGACTTTCTGCCAGGTTTTAGTTTTCGTTTTACGTTGAATGATATGATCGATCCGGGTCCACAATAAATTTGTCTGAAATTCAAACTGTAAACTTCATTGCATCTGCGTGTGAGCTGGAATTCGAATATACATTTATCTAGCTGTTGTCTAAAGCTATCTTTATATATATGTATGTATGTTTTTTTGCTTGTTTGTATGTGTGTTTAAATGTATTAGCATATGGTTTGGGACTATAGACTATAAGAATGGTGTTGCATCAGCTGAAGGCTGAGCTGCGGGTGACGTGACGTGACGGCAAGAAGCTTTACAGTCGAGAAAACCCTACGAGACACATTTATACACAACTAACTAACTGTTATTATTATTTTATTTTGTTAATGTTTTACATTTTGGTTATTGTGAGAGGGGCTGATGTGGCGTGGCGTGGCGTGGCTTTGGGTTGGGGTTTGGGTCTAGGTCTAGTTTTAAGGATAATATGGATAGAGGATGGTGTGTAGTTTAAATTTCATTTATTTTCTGATACTGACATCTATGTTTTGTTTGAAATCTTTATTGGATCCTTGTAACGGGCAGTAGTATCCATTAAATTATAATAGTAAAATGTTAAAAGTTTAACTATGTTCTTAGAGTCTAATGAAAAATGGATACATAGACGAATATGTACTCGTTTTGTAATTTCAGAATTTCAGAATTTGTGTCATCTCTTGTTTCTCTTCAATCAATGCAAAAGAATCAACCATCTGTGTGGGACTTGGTTTGGGATTCACTTCTAGTTTCGTATTCAGTGTGTTCGGTGTTTGTGATGGTATGGGATGGGATTGGTTTGGATTGGGTGACTCTCCCTGTTAGTTATGCTATGCGCCTTGCAACTATTACTAAATTTAATTAAATTTAAATTGAATTACAAGTTATCTGTTTAGGTTTTTGTTACGTTACGTCAAAATGTAGCTTAATTAATTTTCTACGCCTTTGCACTTGCTTTGATTTTTGCTTGCTACGTTATTCTCTCGTTTTTAATTAATTATATTTTTGTTGTTCTTTTTTGTTTTGTTTTTTTTGTATTTATTTTGTATTTTTGTTGGCTTGCCCTACGTTCAATAGTAAAATGTATATATATATGTGTAATATATATATATATATATTTATATAGTTATATGTACGTTAAGAATTACATTAATGTAGGACATAAGTCTAAAAGGATAGAGGCTTGCTAATGGGCTTTAAAGTTGATGGTGGGGGTGGGGAAATGGGAAAGGGGCAATAGGGAGCTACAGGAAAAGGGGGAACTTTGTATATTCGTATTATTAGTAGTAAAATTTGTATGTACAGTTCGTTAGGTTGCTTAGGACTGATCATCGATCAACAGCATCACCTGCTGCGTTGTCGTTTGCGGATTCCTTGTGCACTCCACCTGATGAGCATTCCAATCCTTGCGCTGGCAGAACTCCGAGCAGTACGGCGTCTTTCGGCATAGCGAGCATTCGGCCAATGCCTCGCGGTTACAGTTGGCGCACTAGTCGATTATTTAATTAAATTAAATTATTAGATTACATTGGGGGTAAATGCGAATTTACCTTTTTGGCCGATATGATCTCATTGCCGTGCAGGGAGCCAGATATATTTGGATCATCGATGTCCGCGTGAACCTGTACACGCATCGCACTAACCGCCGCATCGCGCTCCTTTTGCAAAACCTCGATTCGTCGCTCGTAGTTCTGCTTCATTTCATTGAGCAGACGCTTAAAGTCGTTGGTTGCCTTCACCATGGTGCAGTAGACATGCTCGATGTTCTTCATCGATTGACTGTTGTCCAGGACGGCAATGGAGGCCCCATCATTGATGTTAACCACGAACGTTTCACGGCCGTAGTCATTGCCCATTTGCGATTGGTCAACTAGCTCGGTGGAGGTGTCCAGGCTGTCGTTTAGTGCAGCCCATGGCTCATCCTTAGACGTTATGTTTTCCTCGGCCAAAAACATATTCTCATCCACAACGCTGGAGGTTGCCGCCACAGCAGCAGCCGCACTGGCGGCCGCCATATCTATATTGTTGTTGGCGCTGTTGCCGCTCGTGTTGTTGTTATTGTTGTTAGTGTTGCTATTATTATTATTGTTGCTATGATGGGTATTACGCTTTCGCTTGGGACCAGGCTCCATATCGAGATCCGTTTGATTCCGCTTTCGCCGCTTATACGGCGTGAATAGACGTACAGGGCCGGACGCTAAATTTCAATCAGAATTGATTTAAAAATGCTTTTTACTCGACCCTAAATGTGGTACAGTGAACCCGCCGCCACACTGCTCACCACCGAATCCTTTTATTTGAACAATCTATAGAGCTGTAGTGGCGGTGCCAATCAAGTTGTGTGTGGCGAGTTCACTGTTCACTTGTTAAGGTCTTAATGGATGGACCGAGGTGCTGGGGACCAGGGTTATAGTTTTTGTTCGTCTCACCTGACTCACCTGCTTCACCGTCGCAGCAGACGGTGCAGCTGCAGTTGGTTGCATGGGGCGTGAGTGTGCCCTCGTCGATGAGCGATTGCAGCGACTTGCCACCGTACTTGATGGAGCGCTTCCAGTCTTTGCTCGAGCCCCGGCCGCACACATGCTCGAACTCGCTTGGTGTGTGCCACTTCTCCTTGTACTTGACGCAGCGACCCCGGCCGCCAGATCCCAGTTTGCTGCGATAGAGTTCGGCGCAGGTGGTTTTACAACGGATCTGGAAGACCTCCATGTGTTGCGTTGATGTGTTCTCTGCCCAGCCGGTGGAGCCCGTTGCTTGGGCACCACCACCTGCATGCTCGAGGACAAGGCTGTCCTCGCTGGGGGCCCTGCTCCCAGAGCCGTCATGATTCAGTCCAAGAGTGTTGGTGGCATTTGTATTGGTTCCAGCACTGTTGGAGCCCCCTCCTCCGCCGGTGGCTTGTGTCTGCTGCTGCTGCTGCTGGATGACGATCGTCTTCAGGTCGTTGCCCATGCTAACCGTGCCGCCGGACAGGTAGCCATTGTTGTCGACGCACAGCATCGGCTTAAAGTGGGGGAGCTGATCGGGCGTAATCACATTAAAGGTGGTACCGGTTATCATTGATCCGATTGGCAGCGAAACTGGCACTGAGACAACACCGCCGCCTCCTCCTGTTCCACCTCCGGAGCCGCTACCGCTGTTGTCGTTTGAGGAGGATGTGACCATGCGAACCTTAGAATCCAACTGCATTACCATAGCGCACATATTCCAATATTCCAACGTTCGTCACATGAATGTGGTTAAGTGTCCAATTGCCAATTGTCGTATTTGTGTTTTGCGATCCGTGTAGTTTTATTTCAAGCGATGCGATGCGATTTCCCAAGGAATCAGAGAGGAAAATTCGAATGTAAGTAAACAACACAGCATGGGAAAAATGAAAATCGGTATACACAACAATTTGCGCCACAAAATCTGTTGGCTTGGGGAGGGGGTGCGGGAACGGGAGTGTGAGCGGGTGGTATGTACTGTATAGCGGCGTTCTGTGGGGGTTGGGATTGGTTTGCCCAGTGGGCCGATTGCTCCGCTTGGAGCAGGCCAACCCCAACCCCACTCCCACTCTTCCCACTTCCACACATGCACGCACACATGGACACAGTTTCCACTACTGCGCAGAGCAGAGCAGAGCCAGTGGCAGAGCGCGAGGAGCCAGAACCAGAGTCAGAGTGAACCATATTCGGATTCGGAGTGATATGCACAGCCACAACCACAGCCACGGCCACATCCACATCGACATCCACCCTTACCGCCAAGAGGCAACATTTTGTTTCTGTTTCATTACCTGATGGTGATGATGATGATGGTGATGGCCCGGGCTTTCTAATATCACCTCTTCTTTCACAACATCGCGCACATCGTCGGCCAAGTCTTTCACTTCACGTATCCTGCTTATGTGCAGCTCAGTAGAATCGACCTGTTCCATTATTGGTGTGCCACTACCGCACTGAATTCACTTTCACTTGTTCTATCACTAGTATTTCCGCTTTTATTTCTTAAAATTAACTCATCGAATTGCTGCAAATTGCAATTGGACGTCTGTTGTGGTTGGTGCTGTTGCTGTTGCGCCTGCAGTTTGTGTTTCCCGCGCACACCATTTACAATTTACATGTGCATTTTGTGGCATTCGCGTCAACGATTCATTTTCTTCTATTTACAGTTTACAATATATTGCAATTTACATTTTTTAAGCTAAAAACTTTAAAATATCTCTTAAAGTTGATATCCTCCTCTTCTTCCGCATGATAGAGTTGTCATGTTGACCGAAAACGTCAGCAGGGTTGTCACGCGCATGGCGAAACGTGGAAACATGGTCACACAGATTGTGATTTTAACTGTGGCACCGATGATTTGTGATAAAACTTATAACCAATATATAGCGTAACTTCCATAAAATATTGGAAAATCGAGCTATTGATTGTATAACGAGATATCCAGGATTATACTGGATTAGGACTGTATTGGGCCAAAACTTGGTTCTTCCCAGTTGGATGGCACATGTCCATCGCGTTATTGATCTATCGGTGTACTGGCCACACTATAGTAATAAAATGGTAAATAAATGATAAAATATTATACACAAAAATCGAAAATACCTATTTTACAGGCCGATGTGGATGTCTTTATTAGCAATTACACCCTTGTTGATCCCGAAATTTACCAGCTATGGATCGAAGGGTTTTCCTGTGAGTTTTTATTATAACTTCTTCTGTGTTGTGCTGTGTTTTGATAACCATTGTAATATATTCATTGTGATGATGGTAGCAAGCGAAGCCGTCTCCTACTTGAAACAGAAGGGTTTTGGCCATTCCATGGGAGCACCAAGCGACTTGATTGCCTCCGATGTCCTGGACCACTACCGCACCTATTCGCTGATAGAATTATATCTGCACGCGCCCACCAAGCTGATGGAACAGTCTTGCTTTCAACTAGAGCCGCATATGCGTGACTTGATCACGGAGAAATATTATTCCATTGATGATGTTGTAGCACGTGAGATACTGGGCAAAAAACTGACTTCGCGCTACCGCAAGGACTTGGATGAAGTGGCCGAGAAGACTTGCGTCAAGCTGAAGTCCTGCCGGTATGTTGATTTAGCACACCAAACAGGATTATTACCACAATTTCATGCTAACTATGACACCTATTAACAGCCGTCAGTTCGACAACGTTAAGCGCATATTCAAAGCTGTGGAGGAGATGCCTGGAACGCTGACCAACAACATAAAGCAGCTCTTCTTTATATCCAACGATTTGGCAAAGTATGAAGTTCCTGCAACCAGCTTAAACTCAGTTTAATGTTAAATACTAATTTCTTATGCAGAAAGTATGCATGCATCGTGTTCCTGGCCTGCTTGCGCTTTGAAACGACCAAAAAGAAGTTGCAATATTTAAGTTTCAGTGATTTATTGACCTGCTCACACTCAATTATGATCTATTGGACATACACGTACCAGGCAGGTTGAATCATTATTATTAATACTCACTTGAGCTGTCTACATTTTGTATTTCGTATTTTTAGCACACTGGACCCGAGTACTACGACACTGAAATGGACAAAGAGTTCCTCCTAGATCTGCGTGAATTGCGATGCCTGCTGGATAAAGAAAAGGAGATAAAACAGTAGGATCTGCAGTAGCCTGCAGATATCTGAATATATTTCATGTTTTTCCTGTTTTACAGCCTCGTCTGCCTGCGCCTTAAGCCTGTTCTCCTGGACCGTGCCTTTCATGAGTTGGACGGAAACTTTCGGTGAGGATGTTGTTTTGCTTAAAAGTGCTGGTCGTATAATGGTTGGTCGCTTTATAGCTCATACTGGCGCGCCTTGATCACAATCGCCTGTAATCTTCATCGCAATCGGGAACTGCGCGATCTTTTCGTTGATCTCTGTGAAAAACTGATAGATCCCTGGCGTCAGAACGGCTGGAACCGAGAACAGGTTAATAAATTTCTATCATCCATCACACAGAGCGTTCTGGATTTGGAAATTTCAAGGTGATTTTTGTTTTGATGCTTAATTAGCACTAACTAAGTATTTTTTTCTACAGAGATCAGGAGACTCGATGCCTTTGGGATCGTTACATGCAGGTCATTACAATATGCCTGGATAAAATGTACCATATTTAACTTTACCTAGACTTCATGTTATGTAAAAATGTTCGTTTGAAACCATAGCTGTGTTTAATTTACATTATTTCGTCGTCAACCATCTCTGAAAGCAACACGAAAAATAGCTGTTGCGATGGAACGGGGGATTGAATGGGTTAAGTACGTTTTAACCTCGGTATATTTTGAAAATGAGAAGGTATATTACGGTATATTTCTAAGGGTCAGTCACACTGCTACAATGGAAATGCAAGAACCTAGGTAAAATTTTTGTTTAGAAAGTTGTTACGGTACTTTATGATAAATAAGTGGCTGTTTTAAGTGTAGACTTAATACACATATTACTATGTAGCCCAAAAAGCCCCGAATAAACACAAGCTGTCGCACTTGAATCAACCATTTGCAGCAGGTTGCTGCACAACAAAAAATGGGGTTGTTTCTTTAATTCCCACTCCTATTTCTTTGCTTGAAATATTTCAGCGAGAATCAGGAGGAGCTGGAAGATGACTTTGATGAGGAGAAGTCGGCCAATCGTACTTCCGATGAAAACCGCAAGTATGAGAAAGCAAATGATGTTGTAGTCGTAGAATCGATAATGGCTGAATTCCACTTGAAACTGCTAGACAAAACCACAGCGAAATCGAGAAGCGGAGACGGGACAAGATGAACACGTACATCAACGAGCTCTCCTCCATGATACCCATGTGCTATGCCATGCAGAGGAAGCTGGACAAGCTGACGGTGCTGCGGATGGCGGTGCAGCATTTGCGTGGTATACGAGGCAGCGGTAGTCTGCATCCGTACGTTGGCGCTGATTTTAGGCCGAACTTTATGTCGGACCAGGAGCTGAAGATGATAATATTGCAGGCTTCGGAGGGATTTCTGTTCGTTGTGGGTTGTGATCGTGGGCGCATCCTCTATGTGTCCGACTCGGTGTCCAGTGTCCTGGACTGCACGCAGGCGGATCTATTGGGGCAGAGCTGGTTTGATGTTCTGCATCCGAAGGATATTGGCAAGGTCAAAGAGCAGCTCTCCTCGCTGGAGCAGTGCCCAAGGGAGCGACTCATCGATGCGAAGAGTAAGCTTAGCCAATTATCAATGCAAATCTTAAACTCAATGGCAAAACCTTTCTTTTTTCCTACCCAGCCATGCTTCCCGTCAAGACAGACGTTCCTCAGAGTCTCTGCCGCCTGTGTCCAGGTGCGCGTCGCTCCTTCTTTTGTCGCATGAAATTGCGTGCCGCAAACAATCAAATCAAGGAGGAATCAGACACATCGTCCAGCTCGCGCAGCTCCACCAAGCGCAAGTCCAAGCTGAGTATAGATCACAAGTATCGGGTTATTCAGTGCACAGGATACCTGAAATCATGGACGCCCATCAAGGATGAGGAACAGGATGGCGATAGCGACGATCAGACAACAAATCTCTCTTGCCTGGTGGCCATCGGACGCATACCGCCCAATGTGCTCAACTCGAGTGTGCCCACATCGCTGGAAACGCATCCAAACATTCGGCATGTGCTCTTCATCTCACGACACTCGGCGGAGGGAAAGTTTCTTTTCATCGATCAGCGGTATGTGTACGAGTACGAGTTGCCCATTCTTGGTCGAGTTATATGTTGTGTTGTGTCCACTTTTAGTGCCACCCTCGTGATTGGTTTCCTGCCACAGGAGATCCTTGGGACCAGCTTTTACGAGTATTTCCACAACGAAGACATCGCCGCACTGGTCGAGTCCCACAAGATTGTTATGCAGGTGCCGGAGAAGCTCACCACGCAGGTGTACCGCTTCCGCTGTAAGGACAATGGCTACGTACAGCTGCAGAGCGAGTGGCGTGCCTTCAAGAATCCCTGGACAAATGAGATTGACTACATAATTGCCAAAAATTCTGTCTTCTTGTAATCGGGCAATGGCTGCCAGATTCGATTGGGTTGATAATCTACTTTGCTCGTAACTCATTTTTATACCATAAATTAAACGCACAAAGCCAATTGGAAATTGTTAGAATGTATCTTAGAGATTAAGTTAACTCTCCCCCTCTTATTCCTCCACGAGTCTAAGAGAGTTTGGTCAGAGTAGTTGTAGTACATAGTAAAATAAACAACAAAAAGCTCTACGGCAGGCACGTTTTGGACGTGATCTTCAGCTAGAATTTCTGTATATGCGAAGAGTATACATATATACATATGTGTATTCATATATATGTGTATATATATCTACACACGTACATGATTTATCATCTGAGACGGGCTTTTTCTCCCATTTCGTTTTGATTCGTTTTCGTTGTTTCTTTTTTTCCTGCACTATCAATAGACCGACCGACATGAAAAGACGACAGGCCAAGCGCGTGGGTCCGACTCTCTCGTGAATTAGTTTCGGAATTAGTTGGCACAGAGCTGGCGTGTTGTGCGGACTGTTCGTATTTCGTACTCAATAGTTCATCAATTGGATAAATACAAATATGAGTGCCCTCATCATTTTGTGCTCCATTTTAATTGGATTTGTGATCTATTCCCTCGTCAAATCGGTGCGGCGGCCCAAGAATTTTCCACCAGGTGAGATGGCAACAAAGGATACGCGACAGATCCCTTGTGGTGTCTCCACTGGCCGCATTTAAGTGAGAATGAGCAAAAGATACAACGATAACCGCGTCTATTGCGTTGCTTAGAGATGCCTTCCATGTGCTCCATGTAGGACGAGTCGAGCTGTCTCGCTCCCAATTGGGCTGTACACTCATTAGCAACACGAAATGGACACCGACAGTGATACAGACAGAGACAGAGATGGGTACGGTGTCGGCATTGATAATACTGTCACATAGCCATATCTGACACCAGACCTAACAGGTCTGAGGTACGTGCCTAACAAGGGTAGGGGCACGGTACGGTCTGAATTTATGCATTTCTCAGTACTCCAAATGCAGCTTGGCTGTGATGGCATAATATTGCATTGTAATTCCATACAGTGCAGGGCATAATAATTAACATACGAATGGGGGATGGATGGTGGATGGGATATTGCCATCAATATTACCAGCCTTCACATGCCATCGGTTAAAGGCTATTCTTATACTTATGAATCGCACTGTCTACTCTACGACGAAATGTGTGAAAACTTAAAACAGATCTCAATCCCCAGCACATGTACATACATGGTGCGCCCCGCATTGATATTTCTGATAACCAACAGATTTCGATTTAAAGTAATTTCATAATTTACTGGCCAACAGATTTCACTAGCAAACGATTAGATTAGTAAGTAGTAGTCCCTCCACACATACGAGTATATTCCTTCCGGACAGAGGCACTGCTGGCCATCGATTGCTGAAAGATTGGACAGTTGTCAGGCAAGATTTGTAACCCTCTGCAATTGTCTGTTCTGTTCCGTTCTTCAATTAGGTCCTCGATTCGTGCCTTGGCTGGGCAACACACTGCAGTTCCGTAAGGAGGCACGTGCTGTGGGCGGACAGCACATCCTCTTTGGGCAGTGGGCACAGCGTTACCGGAGCCCGTTGCTGGGACTGAAGCTGGGGCAGGAGTACGTGGTGGTGGCTCTGGGACACGAGATGGTGCGCGAGGTGCAGCTGCAGGAGGTGTTTGAGGGGAGGCCGGACAACTTCTTTCTGCGTCTGCGCACGATGGGCACTAGGAAGGGTATCACCTGCACGGATGGGAAGCTCTGGTACGAGCATCGCAACTTTGCCATGAAGGAGATGCGTCACGTCGGCTATGGACGCAGTCAGATGGAGAGCCACATTGAGCGTGAGGCGGAGGAGCTCCTGTTGCAGCTGGACCGGACTGAGGAGGCACCCATAGAGCCGGTGACATGGTTGGCCCACGGTGTACTCAACGTGCTGTGGTGCCTTATAGCGGGTAAGAGGATTGCCAGCGAGGAAGATAGCACACTGCAAAGGTTGCTGGAGCTGATGAATCGTCGCTCCAAGCTCTTCGACATCTGCGGTGGGCTGCTCGCACAGTTCCCCTGGCTGCGGCATGTGGCCCCCGATCGCACCGGCTACAATCTCATTCGGCAGCTAAACACTGAGCTCTACGGCTTCTTCATGGATACCATAGAAGAGCACAGACTTCAGCTGGAGAAATCATCGGAGAATGAGCCGGTGGAGAGCGACCTGATCTATGCCTATCTGCAGGAGATGCGGAATCAAAGCTCGGATAGTGAGAGCAGCAGCTTCAACGAAACGCAGCTAGTGATGACCATTCTGGACTTTTTCATTGCCGGCTCCCAGACCACCAGCAACACCATTAACCTGGCTCTCATGGTGCTGGCCATGAGATCGGATGTTCAGGAGAAGCTTTTCGCAGAGGTGTTGGCCAACGTGAAATCGGCAAAGTCGGACGCCTTCCCACATCTCAGTCGGAGGGAATCGTTCGACTACATGGACGCTTTCATAATGGAGGTGCAGCGTTTCTTTCACATAACACCCATTACAGGGCCACGTCGTGCCCTCTGGCCCACTAAGCTGGGTGGCTACGACATACCACAGAATGCCACCATTCTGATTAGCTTACGTTCGGTGCATCTCGACGAGCAGCACTGGGTGGATCCGCTGCAGTTTAGGCCAGAACGATTCATCGATGTGGGTGGCAAGTGCTTCAAGGATGAGTTTTTCATGCCATTCGGCCTAGGCAGACGCCGCTGTCTGGGCGATGCCCTGGCCCGTGCCTGCATATTCTCGTTTCTGGTTAGGATAGTCCAGCAATTTTGCATTGTTCTGCCGCCCGGCGAGACTCCATCAATGGTGTTGCTGCCCGGAATTACCCTCACACCAAAGCCCTACAAAGTCAAGTTCGTGAAGCGTTCTTCAGATTGAGTAGGCAGGCTAATGGTGAAATTTCTAACTTATTCACCACGCTCGAAAAGACAAGCGCAAGAAAGGAATGGAGATGGAGTAGTGGTTCCGAAACAGGGTGCTTTGTGGTGAATACGTCACCTTGTTAGTAATTTCACCATAAACAGGCAGGGCAGGGCAGGGTGTTGGGTATACATTTCCACATGAATACATACATTAATATCTTAAGGTTATTCGGTTAAATACATAGTATACCGATCGATCAGTTTTGATTCTGGTCTGTTTTTTTTTGTTCTTTATTAAAGTGTCCTCTACATTAAACTTAAAATTTCGCATAATTTAAACAATTTGTGTAACAAAATTTAAATTAAATAAAAACCATATCATCGTAATCATTAATCGTCATTGTTAACGATCAGCTTACGTTAGCTGTTATCGTTATCGTTCGTCTTGTTTGTCTGGTTTATATGCATGTATTTAAAACAACACCAAGTCAGGGTTCTCAACGTATTTACAAACTCAAATTGAGAAGGAATTAATGTCCATTTACAGTAGGGGGTATGGGGGGGGGGGGGGGGGGGG